TTTAAATGTGCAACCCTATTCGCAAAGAGCATTATTGCATTTTTGAACAATAGAAATACTCGTAAATGAATAAACGCTAGATGAATGTGTTCAATGTCACGCCATGGAGCATTTCAGGCGAAGCAAAAACATCTCCATGGAGACAAGCAGAAAAGCTGCATCTTTAAACATGTGTGAGTGTAACAAAACACAACTCCAGGTATGTTTATGAGGAGGAAACAACATTGTAACATAGATCAGAAAATAGCGTAATATGGGCGCTTTAAAAGATCATTACGTGATTGAAATCGGCGCAGAGATATTACTTAATTTGAAATAACAAATGTCGGATACAATGAACCAATGTCTGCTAAGAGCTTTTGCCCGTAGGTTGTACAGATAATCCTCCTTCGGCCTTCATCCAACTCTAGCTCTTAATGATTCATCCTCAGTCCTGAATGGGTTGAGTTGTGTCTGAGGGGCTCATTTCCGTTGTCATTTACACAGCAGAGTTTTTTATTTATTTTTATTTTTTTACTTTGTGCAGGTATAGAAGAGTGTACGTATGAATCATGCTTCCTCTGTGATCGAAATAGCACAAAATAAATCCAAGAAAAAGTCCACAGTTTCCTTTAAGGTGTCTTACATGTGTCGAGCTGACCTTCCAGTAACTTCACCATGGAGTTTATAGAGGCATGTTTTTTTTTCTTCACACGTTCGTAACATACTACTGTAGTATTTTAGACATCAGTATTACTAAAGCTCCTATATTACGCAAAATTGACTCTTGTGAGCTTTAAGCCATGTGTTACCTCCTCAAACAACATACCTTGAGTTGCGTTTTATTCCCTTCACACATTCATCACATTAGTTCAGAAAATAGTGTAATATGGGTGAGTACGGAGCCGGATGCAGATATATTGTAAAAGCAGCTCTTGTCAAAACAAGTTTGCTACATGCTGCATTTTATTGTCCGATTATCAGGAAGTGCAAGTTAGAAGGCCTGTTGGTCGTTAACTTTACCATTGCTGCAAATGTGTAACATATAATATACATATTTAGGCTGAGATCTGCTCTCAGACTGAAAATACGGTAATACAGAAAGTGCTCAGCTGCGTTTTTAAACTCCACACACCTTCACTAGATAATTTCAGCCCTGGAATTGCCGATCTCTACTGAACTAAAAGTAAAAGGCCGCTGTTAACTTGAAAACTATATGACATCAGAAGGTGGAGCAGAGCATTTTGAGTTTTGGAGGTGTAGACAAACTAATAACAAAGGATTACTCAAACATGTGTGCATAAAACGAAACACAATTCCAGGTGCCGTTTTTTTTCGGACTATAGGGCGCACTGGATTATAAAGCGTATTAAAGGGACAGTTCGGAATTTTGGACATAGGGCCTCATTTCCTAGTGAGCCAGAGTGTTAGAGACGTGTGGAGACACTTATTTAAATATTCCATCCAGTTCTTGTCTTTGCAGAGGTCGCTGGTGCTAGGCTAGTGCATGTCAATGGCCATAGTTAGCCTGCCACTAAAAACTGTCTTACCCACTCCACAAAACACCCGAAGCAAATCTGTTATTACACCAACCTGTCGATGTGAATGTCTGTGTTGATAGAATAATTTTAGAAGTAAAACCAACCTTGCATTTGAAGGATTCATGTCTGAGCAGCAGCAGTGAGTTGTTGTTCTTCCTGATAGAAAGCTTGCAGACTGATATATGAGAAAATAGTCCCTCAACATGCAGTGATTCATGCGATGCAAGGTTACTTTTATTTCAGACATTATTCTATCAACAGACATTCACATGGACAGTCTGGCGTAATAATAGTTTTGCTTTGGGTATTTTGTGGAGTGGGTAAGACTTTTTTTTAGTGGCAGGCTAACTATGGCCATTGACATGCACTAGCCTAGCACCAGTGACCTCTGCAAATACAAGGACTGGATGGAATATATTAAAAAGTGTCTCCACACGTCTTCAACACTCTGGCTCACTAGGAAAAGAGGCCCTATGTCCAATATTCCAAGCTGTCCCTTTAAGTGAAACAAACGGACGACACTTGAGAGTGATCCCTTAACCCAGACATCCACGATCTATTGGCGTTGCCTCCCTGTCTTTGTGAATGTGTATTATGAATGTGGGTGGATAATTTCAGTTTCGTAACATGTGTTGAAGCTCACAAGAATCAATTTTGCGTAATATAGGACCTTTTATTGCCTCACTCACATAAGTAATAGTGAATTGTAAACATGTTTAATTTAACTTAGTGTGAGATGTGCATGGCATCTGCTCTGGGTTTAATTGTAAAAATATGTTCTCCATCTATAATCCACATGCTCTCATTTAAAAGATGCACAGATGAATCTTTGATGATATCAGAGCATACATACTCACAGCAGTTCTCTTATGTCCTCGTAGTAAAGCAGAGAAAAGGACACTCTAAACATTTCATTTAAATTTGATTGAGTTCAATTAATGTGAATGTTGTGCTGCTGTTACAGGTTCAACAACTTAAAGGTATTAGGCTAAATTTACTTTTCAGAGCTTTCAGTCGTGTTATAGTTGTTTATTTACTCACTCGAAGTTGTATGTGGAGTGATTCATGCATCTTTGAGTCATCTTTAATCACTTATTTTCAAGACGCCATATTGCAGTTCAACCCCTGTCAGCGCCACTGGCATACACCCACTTCTCTCTACTTGTTTCCTTCTCCAATTTAATTTTCTTAATCTGTGACACATGTAGGATTTAGCCGTGTTACGTTCATTTTAGTACAAATGAAAAAATTCTTTGGCTTGCTAGCGTGATGTGCAGCTATCCATTACAGGTGCTGACAGCTCCACTGTTGTTTGTTGTGAAGATGTTTACAGCGATGTCAGCTCCCATTGGGCACCATAGTTTTCTGTCGTAGAAGCAGCAGATTCCTTTCTTTTATTAAGTTGATTTAGATAAATATTGTGATTTAAAATGTCCAAATTACACCATAATGATCCACAGGTATCGTAGATTATAACTATCAATTTTTCAGAGTATAAGTCGCTCCAGCCAAAAATGCATAAAGAAGACAATAAAAACATATATAAGTCACACTTTTTGGTGAAAATGTATTATATTTATATTTATATACTAATATAAATTTATATAAAATCAGAGACCAGGAACCAACATTGAAAGTCAAGTTATAGTAATAACAACAGAACAGAGAACAACAGGCTGTTAACGTCACATATGAACAGTTCTTCAGATAATTATAGCATAAACAACAGAACAAGTTTACCAACTCTCCATCTCACTCCAAATCACTAAATCCATGAAATTCTTCATCCTCGATGTCACATCTCTGCAATTCCGTGACCTCCGGAGGTAAATGGAGCACCATTCGTCAGACTCAGCATCAGTTCCAGTTAGAATTATTCTGGCCTTTCTGAATCCCGACAGGATGGTTTCAATTGTCTTTATAAGTTTGTTTAAATGTTCAATTGTTCAGTGGTACAGAAGTAATGGTGCAGTCGACTGACATGATACAGACAGGACAGAGGCTCTTTCAGCAGGAGACATGCGCAGTAGAGCCAAGTGACAGTGGTACAGGAGTAACAGGAGTAACAGATACTCGATGCGAACATTTAATATATAAGTCGCAGGACCACCTGAACCATGAAAAAAAGTGTGACTAATAGTCCAAAAAATATAGTGTATAGCAATCTCAAGCACAATATATGTTCTTTAAAAAGGTGTCCTAGTTCACGTACACATACATAGTTACATGTGCTAATTTCCAAGAAACAGCTACTACAGTATATTATAAAAAGAACATTTAAAATGTCTGATATAAAACGCACTGTATTTATTTATTTATTGTTTGATTGATTTTACACAATTGTGCATCCCAGTGTCGTATACAGTAGATTAAATTAATGTTATAATGAAATGTGTATATTTGTATTATGGAAAAAAAAAAAAAAAAATATATATATATATATATATATATATATATATATATATATATATATATATATATATATATATATATATATAGGATGCATACAGTAAATCATTTTAGAATCCCTTTGGGAATATAGAACTCACAAGTTGTTTGTTGTGTTGTGTTTGTTGTGCCATACATAGGCTCTGATAGTATTTGTTGTTTACATTTACCTACATGTCCCTGCCTGGTGCAGCGGTGGCTGTGAGTGGTGCATTAGCAGGTGCTGACAGGTGCTGACAGGTATAACTCCAGGCCTGATATACAGTAGCTGTGCTGTCAGATGGGCTCCGGCCTCTGCACACACTCTACCACTCGTAATTCAACACGTCTGGATTGTGTTTGTGTGAGTGATGTAGTAATTGCCCCGCCTTTAAAGAACCTGTATTATGCTATTTTCTGATCTGCATTTAAGTGGCAACAGTGTTGTAACATGGCTTAAAGCTCACACAACTCAGTTTTGCGTAATGTAGGGTAAAGTACAGTTTATTTTATATTTGCACTTTGTATTTGTAGGGCTATAGTTGTTTATTTGTTTATTAGATTCATTTGTTGATGGTGTGTTAGTAAATCAAACTGTGTCATTATCTGATTTAGATTATAAGGACTTATATGAACAACATCAGAAAGTAGAGACTAAATCATGAGCTGAATCTGCATTTTGGCATGTAAACACATGTTTTTGTGTTTTTTGTACATGTAACTTTTCTGGTAGGAGATCTGCTAAGATGTTATCAGTTTTGCAGTAATTTAAATACATAGTGTTTTATTAAAAAATAGATATGCTCAAAAACATTCTGTGAGCAAGACTTTAGCATGCTGTATAAGCCAGTATAATGCCAGACTTTTATTGATTTCCATTATGATCTTGACGTCACCATGATTTGATTGGTTTTGTACGCACAATCACTGCCCAGTTGGAGCCAGTCTTATTCAAACATACATTTCAAATACAAATTGTCACTATTAAACTTGCTGTAAACCTAATTGTAAAGTGGGCGTTGTTCTAACATAAGTGTGACTTGTGACTTGCAGAGCTGGATAACCCGGACGCCCGTGTGACGGAGATCCATGCGCTGGTTCATCGTTTGCCCGAGAAGAACAGACAGATGCTGGAGCTGCTCATGAAGCACCTGGCCAAGTAAGGCGAGCCCTGCCCACTGCATTTATGCACATGTGCACTGTCCCACTGTGGAATAGCACATCACAACAGGGTTAATTTTAGCACCTCTTCATCCCCTCCTCCTCTTCCTGGACTCACGATGCCATGCCTGTGTCTCTGGCTGGAGGAAACCAGGGTGTACCATTCAGATTAATCATAAACTGCCTATTCTAGGCCTTGCAAAACTTTGGGGGGCAGGAATGCTTGGATATACAAAAATTTTGCAGAATTGTCCTTTCAGTGTTCTTCAGTGTAGGGACACAAAGTTAAAAAAACTGAGGCACTCAAAAAGTACAAAATAATGAAAAGCCTTTAATACCACATGGCATTAACCCTAACCCTCTGTCACGTGGTATTAAAGGCTTTTCATTATTTTGTACTTTTTGAGTGCATCAGTTTTTTCTATTATGTATTCTAGGACTTGTCTATGTCCAGAGTTCAAGGATCAGTTTTCTCTCTTTTTTTAGTTTTGTAAATATTTCAAAATCCATTTTCATCCAAAATTGCTTACTTTAATCTAATAATAAAACATTTGGGCTAATAATAGAATGCATCTTCCCTTGAATAATGTGCTACATGTGGAGTGTTTTAGAAAGAGAAGAGCTTAATTTAGTTTAGTTTATTCCATTTAGTTCATTTCACAGGGACATATTCAGGAGCTTTAAAAAAAAAAAAAAAAAGAAAGAAAGAGAGAGAGATGCTTTGTACCAGACTGTATCTCTTGGAGCATCTGCTGTCCCTGAGACATACAAAACAAAAAGCAAGCTACAATGCAGTCTATAGTATATATAAAAGAAGTACAAATATGTATTAATAAAAAATGATAATGACATTTAAGAGCTCTGTTCACTTCCCTTCCAACTGCCTCTGTGCTCTGGCCTATAAACCTGCTAAGACCTCTGGCAAAATTTGACAAGCGATCGAGTCAGACTGCCTGGTTTATAAAAAAAAAAAAAAAGGACAACAAAATGAGTCTGACTTGGCCATTTGAACCAAGCTTACAAAACAAAACCAGTCGTGTGTTTTTACTATTTATTTATTGTCTGTTGCGGTCAAATTGTTGAACCCACATGATCATGGCAGGTGTGATCTTGGTCTGAGGATTGGTCCGCACCAGAGTCAACCCTGACCTTTCCACCAAAGCCTCTGTATTTATTCACCTTGTGGGCCTGATGTTCTCACTGTGGACGTGCCAGGCCGCGGTGACACATCCGTATCGTGTGGCGAGACGTGTAAACAAAGTGTCAGGCGCACGCAGCCATTGTGTTTTTATGACTTGTGTTTGTTACTCGTTACAGTTTGGTATGTCTGGATCCAGCTGGTTTTTATATCAGCAGCTACAGCTACAGAACTAGTCCTCTTGTTTTAGTTGTGTAAACCAAAGAGGACTGCAAATCATTATCGTAGTTGATTCTTTCATGATTACAATACGGGAAAAAAAAGGATGAAAACAAGAGAAAAAATGTCACTTTGTGTACTTGGACATAGATTTGTGATTATGTAACTTAAAATGAAAACATATACAGTGGTCTCTCGTTTATCGCGGGGGTTACGTTCTAAAAATAACCCGCGCTAAGTGAAATCCGCGAAGTAGTCAACTTTATATTTTACAATTATTCTATCTGTTTTAAGGCTGTAAAACCCCTCACCACACACTTTATACACTTTTCTCACACAGGACTGGTGCAACCCTTTTTGCATCCTTCTTAAAACTTATTGCTGATGTCGTCCTTTTGTTATTTTCCTCCTTCATTCATTTATGCCGTAATGGAGCCCTACAGCGCAGAGACCCGCATAGGTTCATTTTTGGAGACCCGCACCCGCGTAGTACAGCACTGCACCTGCCCGCACTGTAACTGTACCAGGAGACATGGCACGGAGGAGAGTGATTGGACAGTGGTCTACTAAACTCCCTTAGGACCTGGGGTGTCCAACTTTTTCCATGGCCACATTCTAAACACAGACTGAAGCAGAGGGCCGATGGGGCCGGAGACTGGAGCTCAGTACAGTGAATAATTAAAATATGTGCATGTTTAACACTTTGGAATGAGCCATCAGTTTGTTTCACTCTAAAACTTCCCAAAACCACACATTAAATCTTCAAATTGCTTTATCGAAGTAGATTTTCAAAAAACTTGCTGTAAAAAGTTCATTTTTAATTGTGCAAGGTCATTTGGCCAACATCACCTGGAAGCCTGGGGCAAGAAAAATTTGTTCGAGGGCCGCATTGGACGGCCGAGTTACAATCCCTTAGCCAATCAGGATGCAGCAGGAGGAACGCAATATGTGTTCATACACTGTAAAAAAAAAAAAAAAAAAAAAAGGCATGCAAAATTGCACAAAAAAAAATCCACGAAACAGCGAGACCGTGAAAAGTGAACCGCGATATAGCGAGGGACGACTATATCTTTAAATTAGATGGCATATTTACATTTTACAGTGTCCATTTTGAGGTTCTTAATAACTGAGTAAGGACATGGTCAAGTACAAATCACCCCATCAGCCGTTTAGTTCAGACCAGTCCAGGACTCCTCATTATGTTTCCATCATGCTCATATTGAAGGCCTCTATGTGGGCCTTTAACACACACTTAAGGCACCACTCCACGCTCTCCTTCAGGGTTCTAATTGTATAAAACACTCAAAGTCCACCTCTCAGGGATAATTTTTCATATCCAACTAGGCAACCTGCTAAAAATGGGAGACCTTTTCAGTAGTAATTTCAGCCATTTCAGTCATTTTCTTTCTCTAACAGATGTAGAACAACTAAAGAAAACTGATTTTTCAGCCAGTGCAAAACATGTGGAAATTGTGATCACTAATACCTCTTGATTAAACAAATTATTCCGAACGATAATTGTACAGGATTAATTAAACCTCTGATTAGAAGAGGATTTGCTGCGCCATTAAAGGGGAGGTTGTACGCTTCATTTGGATCACAACCAGTGGTCACAAGCACCAGTATTTTTTGATAACATATAGTCATATCTCTCATATTTTTTCAGTTATTATGTTTATTATTACTACTTTATAATTGGACTATGTTAGGATTTGCATGTACACTACCAGTCAAAAGAGCACCCTAATTTTTTCAGTTATTTATTGTAATTCAAGTCGTGCAAGTCCAATGAAGAGCTTGAAATGATACAAAGGTAAGAACTGAACGGCCAGAGGTTAAAAAAAAAAGATATAAGAAACAAAACACAAGTCCAAGCTCTGACAAAACTAAAAGAACATGGAGTATCCAGCACAGTGTCCAGACTTAAACCCATCGAGCTGGTTTGGGATGAACTGGACAGAAGAGTGAAAGCCAAGCAACCTACAAGTGCCACATTTATGGGAACTTCTGCAACAGACTTGGGAAGAACTTTCTGAAGAATATTTGATTTCTATTGTAAAAAGAACGAGCCACGAGTGTGTTCAGCTGTTATATCTGCCAAAGGTGGACACTTTCATGAATCAAAAGTTTAGAATCCATTTTGGTAAACAGTAAAAAACTGGAAAAAGTGTGGTGGTCTAAAACATTTGCCCGGTAGTGTAACTGCAGCTTTTCTGGTAGGGTGTCTGCCCTCTGCCTGTCTCCATTTAGATGGAATGTTCCACAGCACTTATCTATATTGCTTTTATTCAATTACAGTTGTTTTTAGTGCAAAGACAATACCTCGGAAAACATGCATTCTACCATAAATGGACTCACCACTGCAAAGATCTGACCTGTAACTTGATTGATGGCGTCACCTTGTCTCCATTGAACATATCCATGGAGATAAGCAACTGGCTGGATCCTTAGCCAAGCTGGCGCCACCTAGTCAGGAATCAAAATACACTAGACAGTTCGCAGAAACCCCGGAAGTGCAAGTTCGGACACCGGCCAATCAGCGAAGAGCCATAGATTCAGTGTTGTCAATGATTCCCGAGATCGAGGATTTAAAGCCGGAATAAAGACAGTGGTTGGTGAATTTCATCAAGGTTATTGCTCTTCTTCCCACAGGATTTGGGAAAAGCTTAGTTCCGTTAGCAGCGCATTACATATGTCACAACCAAATAGCAGTGATTGGTTAAATTAAAAAAAGTACCCACCTACCGTCGAGCAAACAAAATCTAAGACTGCGAGGTCAGACTGTTTGTACGAAGTGAAATGAAGTAAAACCGGCTGATGAATCAGGATGGTGGATCCTTTCCTCCTGAAATGTTACATAGTTTACCTGTAAAGGGCCAGTTTGGAATTTTGGACATAGGACCTCATTTCCTTGTGAGCCAGAGTGTTGGAGACGTGTGGAGATACTTTTAAAAATATTCCATCCAGTCCTTGTATTTGCAGAGGTCGCTGGTGCTAGGCTAGTGCATGTCAATGGCCATATTTATCCTGTCATTAAAAACAGTCTTACCCACTTCACAAAACACCCGAAGGAAATCTATTATTACACCAGACTGTCGTTGTAAATGTCTGTGTTGATAGAATAATTTTAGCAGTAAAACCAACCTTATGACTGATGATTTATGACTGAGCAGCAGTGTAGCAGCAAGTATTAAAAATTCAAAATAAACAAAAATAAATAAATAAATAAATCACCTTTTAAATATTCAGCACAAATATATTCAAGCCCTCAAATTCAACAGTCAAAATTTAGAGTGTAAAATTCACAGTGAAAAAAATTAGCAGGAAAAATCCAAGATGCCAAGGCCGAAGCAACTGATCCAAAGTGATTCGATCTAACCTAGTAACAAGCAGGAAATGGTGCAGTGAAGTGATCTGATTGGTCAGAATTAGCCTCATCAAAATCTCATTTCTTTTATTTGTTAAGTTTAAACACCGCCGACAGGTGAAAAAGCTCAATAGGAAACAGCCTCTGTCCTCCTCACTCACTTATGATCGATTGGCATCTTAGATCTTTGTTGTGAAAGTAAAATGATTATTTTATTGAATTGAAAATTTAAATTGAAAATATTATTGCTGAATATTTAAAAGCTAACATTTTTATTTTGAGTTAGAAATATATTGAAAAGGTATACTTAAAACTAACAAAAAACTAACTAACTAACTAAAATTCAGAATAAAAATAATTCAATTCTTTTTTACAGATTTAAAAAACTCAAAAAATTCAGTTGTATTTAAAATTCTAAATCGGATGGAACAAATTATCTTCTAGCTGCTGCTGCTCAGACATAAATCCTTCAAATGCAAGGTTGGTTTTACTTCTTATATTAATAATCCCTCAACATGCAACAATTCATCGACACAAGGTCAGTTTTATTTCAAACATTATTCTGTCAACACAGACATTCACATGGACAGCCTGGAGTAATAATACATTTTGCTTCAAGTGTTTTGTGGAGTGGGTAAGACTGTTTTTAATGACAGGATAACTATGGCCATTGACATGCACTAACCTTGCACCAGCGACCTCGGCAAATACAAGGACTGGATGGAATATTTTAAAAAGTGTCTCCACACGTCTCCAACACTCTGGCTCACTAGGAAATGAAGTCCTATGTCCAAAATTCCGGACTGTCCCTTTAAACCCAATGGATAATTTGCTGTATATTCAGTGAAGGAGATAGGCAGGACTAATGCCATATGCAGAACATTCTAGACAAAGCAATGATATCTCCATGGAGACAAGTATCTTACATCTTCATGAGTAATTTGGTGTATGTGTACATGAATATAAGTAAGTAAACTTGATCCTAATGTATACTAACTTGATTTTAATTCCTCCTAGCGTTGCCAGTCACCACCAGCACAACCTGATGACCGTGGCCAACCTGGGCGTGGTGTTTGGTCCCACTCTTCTGCGGCCCCAGGAGGAGACGGTGGCGGCCATCATGGACATTAAATTCCAAAACATTGTGGTGGAAATCCTCATAGAGCACCACGAGAAGGTATGGCTTCCCTAACATCTCGTATTTCTGTATTCGGAGCACACAGGCTGCAGAAGAAATCCCACAGCTGTGTATAGAGCATTGATATTCGCATCATTGATCTGAAGCAGCCGTCCTCCTCCATCCTAACAAGCTTCTCCCAGGCTCTTGAATGCACATACCTCATATATATACATTACTTCATAGCTCCTCTGCCTTCACTTGTGAGCTGCTCTTTGGCGCGCCACTCTGCTTAAAGCTGTCCCTATGGAAACAGACAAAGCAGGCTGCTGTTAGGAACCAGGGCATCATGTGCTCACCGAGGATTCTGGGAGCAAAATTGCAGCAAATAACACCTGTGTGCATGAATACGCTTAGTACAAGGGCCAGACACGGGCAATTTAGGATTTCCAATGGAATGCATAAGCCAGCGTACATAATATATAATGTTGGAGAGATGTTTGTTGGAGATTTTACTAATTTACAGATGTGAAAAGGTGCCTGGTGTTGTTTTGTTTCATTTGCGTGATTTTTAGGAATCATAACTGTCCAGAATCCTCTGCTTTTCATCTAGTTTGAATAGAATAACTTTCATACTTTCACAACTACTACTATTGCTACTACTACTACTACTCCTACTCCTGCTAATGCTACGACTATTACTACTACTACTACTACTACTACGACTACGACTACTACTACTACTACTACTACTACTACTACTACTAGGGATGGGCATTCGATTAAATTTTCTAGATCGATCGTCAGGAGAATTAACAATCAATTTTCGATTAAATCAACATGTTCATATTAAAATTATCATCATTATTGTTACTATAAAAAATCTGCATAAATAAACACAACTTTACAACATATAAACCATAACCACTCAGAACCATATCAGCCCGTTTGACATTATAATGTGTTTAATGCAGCTTTGACACATTTGTTTACTTTTTACAGAAACAAAACTTAAAACCACGTAGCTCATTTGCATAAAATATAAGTGTTGAAAAAAACAGCTCTTACCTTTTGCTCTGATGCGGTTCAGCTTCTGTTGGACTAAAGGACACGAGTCAGTGGAATATGAGTCTTCTCTCTGTGACAGAGGGATGTTGATGATGATGATGATGAGTCTGTTCTGTGTGTATATCACATTGGAGATGGTTCATGTTTTCAGAGATCAGACGTGTGCAGGTTTAATGCAGCTCTTTATTAAACATCATTTCACTCACTTTATTTATGTTGGTCGCTTTATTTATTTTAGCTACTGTTGTCATGAAAAGACTGAAAAGTGTCTTTTGGATGCATGTGCACTCAACTTTATGTTGCAGTAACCGATCCCGGTTACTGCAACATGACAAAACCGGGACACTCAAAAACCTGATCATATCCGAGACACTGATGTGCTGTAAACACACTCACTGAGTGGTGCAGTGATCTGCAAGGAGCCAGAGCCCAAATGTGGAACTGTGAGGCCACAACTCCAGTGTTTGTGTCAGACGCAGCCTCGTCTCCTTACTCTATGCACAGCAAACTACATTAAGTTTGTTGGTTAAAAATGAACGTGATTGACGAAATTCGTAATGATCAATTATCAATTAGTCGACAAATCATGCCCATCCCTAACTCCTACTGCTACTAATTGTATGTATGATAGCCATTTTTCTTAGCAATTATAGCTACAAAGTATTAGAACTAATGCCAAATTATTATACATCCAATATTTTCTTTTCTTTTTTTTTTTTTGCCTTTTTTTTTGCCTTTTGTTTGTTGTTGAGTTTTTAAAGTTCTCTTGCTTTTAGTCTTAAAAGCTACCATCTCTAATTAGATTAGCCAGCGTACCCCTGTTGTATTCTCACACTTCACCACTAGACGCTATCTATGTTACTTCTGTATGATAATGTGCCAGTTTGAAGGCGGAATGTTTCACAGTATGGTATTAAACTTTTCTATCTTCATGGAAACCAAACTAGACCAAGTTCCAGGTCAGATCTGAGAAGAGGCGACCCCACTCACAGTCAAAATCTTGTTTTTCTGGGCATTTTTGAGCTACAGTTTAATAGATGTACGTTAGAGCTGTTTAATTTCACACTGTGGAACATTCCGAGCAGAGCAATGATATATCCATAGAAACAAACAGGTGACAAACCAAAACCAAAAAGTTCCGTAGTGCACCTTTAAGCTTTTGATAGATTTAGCTGTTTTTTGTGATAATTATTTTCCATATTTTTTGTAGTTTCAGGGAAAATTGATGTGTTCAGTGACTCTTAATCTTTCTTTTCAAATAATGTATAATGAATTCCTCAAACATGACAACATTTCTTGAAACCAAATTAACTTTAATTCATTAACTAGCAATTAATTACAGTGACAGAAGGCTCTCGTTTTTACAGATTTTTTATTTTTTTTTACAATACCGCTTTGGAACTAGCTGACAGTGAGATAAATTGAGTTTGTACCTGTCTGCCCACAATCAATACCAGATTGTCCAAACACAGAATATGCAACGCTTGCTTCACTGTTGCACATTCTGAAATCTTAAAGGTGCATTGTGTAACTTTTCTGGTGGAGGATCAGTCAAATGCTTTTCTTCATGGAAATATTATTGCTTTGTCTGGAATGTTTCACAGTATTTTTGAGCTAAAAAAAACATCTGTAATTGAATAAATGTAAGGTAGAGCTGTTTAACGTGGTACTTGTAATAAACTTTTAACGTCCTATTGAACTATTAAAGAGGGGGTATTATACTTCTATGGGGTAATTAATTGCTAATATGGAACATGTTTGGTCCCAACGCCACCTTTCATTGTTTTCAAAATGCAAAATGTGCTGATGAAACTGCTGCACATTGCATCAGGTTTGTGAAGTTGCTGTATACAGTTTCATGTTTTTGTATACTGGATAGTGGACATATAGCAATGTACATATAACCCTAAAAAGGGTTTGAAAAAGGCCTGTAACAGATCGCTAAATTACTCAAACAGGCGTGGACGACATCTTAAACCATTTCAGTCATGTTTTTGATGAGGGAACAACGATATAACATGGTAGAAAGCTCCAAAAAGTCAATTTTGCATAATACCCTCTTTAAGTTTTGAGTTTTTAAATATTACACTGCAAAAAACAAAATCTAGTCAAGTTAAGATGACTTGAATTAAGAAAATTTTTCATAATTTGAGTAAATTTCACATGACAAATAAAATTATCTGCCAGCGGAAAAAGACATTTTGTACTTAAAATATGAAAATACATGTTGCTACACTTAAAATACGAAAAACAACTTTTTGCACTTAAAATAAGAAACAAAATCGAATGTTGCTCGAACTAAAAAAAACACACTTATTCTATTGGTCAAGTTGAATCTACTCAAATAATGAATAAAATACCATGGTACAAGTAACCAAGTACTGTGGAACATTCCAAGCAGTGACATCCATAGAAACAAGCAGGTGACGGATCCCCCCCCAACCAAAAAGTTACACAAGAAGAAAACTGTACTGCTTTTTCAGATGAAGTGAAGTGAGCCAAGAGAAGAAGCACAATGTTTGGTCAAATACGAAGCAACAGCTAGTGAATAATTTGTGGAAAAACGTCAAAATGTCATTATAATTGCTCGCATGGAGGGAAAGCCTCTTCACTTGAAAGCACGGAGGTGATGTAAATACGTTTTGAATGGCAACGGAAAGCTGCAGATTTGATCACTATGCAAGCAAAGGGATGTAAAGCTCCTATATTGAGCAAAATTTACTCCTGTGAGCTTTAAGTCATGTTATAATGTTGTTACCTCAGCAAAAGCATACCTGGAGTTGTGTTTTGTTTCATTCACACGTATTCTAGTAACAATTTATTACTAGTCTGTCTACATCTCTAAAGCTCGAAATGCTTTGTTACACCTTGTGATGTCATGTAGTGGTAATTTTCAAGCAAATTTTTACATTTATCGTAAATTCCCGACTATAAGTTGCTTTTTTTCTCACACTTTGAACTAGGAGTGTGCAAAAATATTGAAATATCGATATATCGTATCGCTTAATGTGATGATACAGTACCGATATCGTGGGCTGCTGTGTTGATATATCACCAAGAGTACTTTTTGGTATATTTTACTAAATTATTTTGTTACAGTGCTACAGTTTTGTTGCTTGTTTAGAGGAAGGAAACTTTTTTATGCGACACATTTGACATCTTCACTGTTTTGATGATAAATATAATGTTTGTGTTTCATATGAACTTTGCACAAAAATTGGTTTAATAAAGACTTTTAGTATCACAGACATAATTTAGTCTTTATTTTTATTGAACTGTATTGAATCGATTTGAAATATATCATATTGAATCGAAAGCTCACTGTATATGTATCATATCGTGGCCTATGTATCGAGGTATGTGTCATATCGGCAACTTCATAATGATACCCAGCCCTACTTTGAACCCTGTGGCTAAAAAAATGATGCGGCGAATATCTGGACAGAATCGTTGTTTGGCAGATTGTCCATTCATATATAGTGTCAATGGTTTGGCGACACAGCTGAGTGTAGAAAACACCGCTGTCTGTATGTACGGTTAACACATGGATCTAGGGTTCACGTGAAGTTGCTACACTAGCTCGCGATTTTGTCAGTGCACTCAAATAGATTATCGCCGTGTGATAAAATAAGTTACGATGCTAAATGAACATTAGTGAGGGGGTACGTCTTGCCCGTTTGCGTAAATGACGAGAAGAAACGTCTCAAACTTTAGTAGCTGGACATCCACTCATACCTGATCGACAGAACTAACCCCGCCCCCGAGAGAGTCTGAAATCTGCTGAAATCCTCCAAGACGCTGACATGATACAGACAGAACAGCGGCTCTTTCTGCAGGAGACATGCGCAGTAGAGCGCGGAGAGAGATGGGGCTGTTTGATTGTGTTTTGAACAGTTATTTTGCGCTTCATGCACACACCCTCCTCATGGAAAACACACCAAGAAATGCAGATGATGCAGCTTTTAAGTTATCGGCAATTGATGTGGCTGTGGAAGAAGGAAACAGAGCTGCTCCGTGAGTCGATGGTGAGATTGTGGCGACGGCAGCGTGATGAACTGACTCAGTGCAAAAAGATGACAAAAGCTTTCAGAGGCGATAAAAGCAGACTGCCCAAACTTGAAAGCGTTCTTGAAGACGTGGACACCTGCGGCTTATATTCAGGTGCAGCCTATATATGTACAATTAAAAAATTTTGTTCAAATTTAGTTGATGCGGCGTCTATTCAGGTGCGCTCAGTAGCTGGAAAATAAGGTAGTTCTGTTGGCCGTCCAAGGCTGAAATTATCCAAATGATTCTATTGAAGGTGTATGGAGTTTAAAAACACAGTGGGGTGCTTCCTGTATTACCACATGACATCACAAGGTGGAATGGAGCGGTTTCTGTTTGACAGTCACAACAATTTTGACAATTTTTTGTGTGTTAAACATGTGTGAATGAAACAAAACACAATTCCAGGTCTGTTTTTGATGAGGAAACCTAACAGATGAGAAAATATCCGAATATAGTCCTCAACTTTAGTCACATTTTTTTTTTTTTCTTTGTATAAATAAATCTAAGATAGTTACGTTTAATGCCATACTGTGTAACATTCAATTAACAGAACTAAATCTCCATGGAGACAAGCACATGCCAGATCCCCCACTAGAGAAGTTACTCAGTGCACTTTAAAGATTACCGACCACAACTATGCTGATTTAGGTCTTAATAAAAGCATATATATTGTACTGAGTTCCATTCTTGTTTCAGATTTTCAGGGACGTTCCTGTGGGAGTCTTGAACTCTCAGCCGTCCCGAAGAGGAAGTGCTGTGAACAGGACTCCATCATGCTGCGAGAGACCACTCACTCTGTTCCACACGCCAACGCACTCCCAAAAGAGTGAGTCACTCTCTCTGTCTCTCTCCTTTTCTGTCTCTCTCTCCATCTCTCTCTGTCTGTGTCTCTCTCTCTCTTTCTCTCTCTGTCCATCTCTTTCTTTCTCTCTGTCTGTCTCTCTCTGTCTCTGTTTCTATCTCTCTCTGTGTCTGTGTGTCCCTCTCTCTTTCTCTCTTTCTCTGTCTGTCTGTCACTCTCTGTCTCTCTCTCCCTCTGGTTCTCTCTCTCTCTCTCTCTCTCCTCCCTCTGTATCTGTCTCTCTTTCTCTGTCTGGCTTTGGCCCTCTCGTTGTCTCTTTCTTTCTGTCTCTCTCTATCTCTCCCTCTCTTTCTCTCTCTCTTTCTCTATGTGTCTCTCTCTGTATCTCGCTGGCTCTCTCTATGTCTCTGTCTCTCCCTCTACGTCTCTATCTCACTCTGTCTCTCTCTCTCTCACTTCATGTCTCTGTCTCTCTCTATGTCTCTCTCTGTCTCTCTCGATGTCTTTGTCTCTCTATGTCTCTCTCTCTCTCTCGCTGTCTCTCTCTATGTCTCTCTGTCTCGCTCTCTATGTCTCGCTGTCTGTCTCTCTGTCTCTGTCTCTCTCTATGTCTCTGTCTCTCTCTGTGTCTCTATGTCTTTCTCTCTATGTCTCTCTCTCTCTCTCACTCCATGTCTCTGTCTCTGTCTCTCTCTATGTCTCTGTTTCGCTCTATGTCTCGGTCTCTCTGTCTCTCTCTCTCTTTCTCTGTCTCTCTCTATGTCTCTATTTCTTTCTCTCTATGTCTGTGTCTCTCTCTCTGTCTCTCTCTATGTCTCTGTTTCGCTCTATGTCTCTGTCTCTCTCTCTCTGTCTCTCGCTCTCTTTCTCTGTCTCTCTCTATGTCTCGCTGTCTATGTCTCTCTGTCTCTGTCTTTCTTTATGTCTCTGTTTCGCTCTATGTCTCTGTCTCTCTCTCTCTCTCTCTCTCTATGTCTCTATGTCTGTCTCTTTCTCTCTGTCTCTCTCTCTCTCTCTCTCTCTATGTCTCTATGTCTGTCTCTTTCTCTCTGTCTCTGTCTCTCTCTATGTCTCTATTTCTTTCTCTCTATGTCTGTCTCTCTCTCTGTCTCTCTCTATGTCTCTGTTTCGCTCTATGTCTCTGTCTCTCTCTCTCTGTCTCTCGCTCTCTTTCTCTGTCTCTCTCTATGTCTCGCTGTCTATGTCTCTCTGTCTCTGTCTTTCTTTATGTCTCTGTTTCGCTCTATGTCTCTGTCTCTCTCTCTCTGTCTCTCTCTCTCTCTCTCTCTCTATGTCTCTATGTCTGTCTCTTTCTCTCTGTCTCTGTCTCTCTCTCTCTCTCTCTCTGTCTCTCTCTCTCTCTATGTCTCTCTCTCTCTCTCTATGTCTCTCTCTCTCTCTCTCTATGTCTCTATGTCTGTCTCTTTCTCTCTGTCTCTGTCTCTCTCTCTATGTCTCTCTCTCTCTCTCTCTCTCTATGTCTGTCTCTCTCTCTCTGCTCTCTCTCTCTATGTCTCTCTCTCTCTCTCTATGTCTGTCTCTCTCTCTGTCTCTCTCTCTCTCTCTCTGTCTCTCTCTCTCTCTATGTCTCTCTCTCTCTCTGTCTCCTCTCTCTCTCTCTCTCTCTCTCTCTGTCTCTCTCTCTCTCTATGTCTCTCTATCTCTCTCTCTCTCTATGTCTCTCTCTCTCTCTCTCTGTCTCTCTCTCTCTCTCTTCTCTCTCTCTCTCTCTCTCTCTCTCTCTCTCTGTCTCTCTCTCTCTCTCTATGTCTCTCTCTCTCTCTCTCTCTATGTCTCTCTCTCTCTTCTCTCTGTCTCTCTCTCTCTCTCTCTCTCTCTCTCTCTCTCTCTCTCTCTATGTCTCTCTCTCTTTCTCTGTCTCTCTCTCTCTCTCTCTCTCTCTCTGCTCTCTATGTCTCTATGTCTCTCTCTCTCTCTCTGTCTCTGTCTCTCAGACTTTATACACATTAATCCAAATTGCAGAGACAGTGATTTAGTGTACTTACTTACCGTACGTATGTGAGCCTGTCATGTGTAGTCTGACCGATCTTTTAATACTCTTAATACTTATTTTAGATGTGTATAAAAAGCTGTAAAACAAGTATTCAGTTTGACCCAGATTATATGAGTGTTTGGTGAGAGAAAGATCATAGACATAACAGGAGCTTTGCAGCCTTGGCTCCAGACAGTGACAGAACAGACTTTTGAGTGCTTGGATAAATGTAGCGCCGGTTTCTGGCCGAGGAGACTGAGAGTGTTGTGTTTCTCGTAGGTGAGAAGAGGAACAGTGTGGTGAGCGCTCCCGTGGCAGAGCTCCAGTCCAACACCGCCAACTGTAACAACAGCAGCAGCAGCAGCAGCAGCGGCAGCAGCCAGGGCCGGACCCCCAGGAACAGTCTGACCAGTACAGATGGAGAGCAGGAGAGCAGGCAAAACAGACCCAGCTCACTGTGAGTACTGCAAGACTGTACTGCAACAACTGTACTACAACAACTGTCTGCTGGAGCGTCTCTGGGTCCATCGGCACCATTGGCCCCTATAGCCACATTCATATTAAGTGAAGTGTCTTGTTTAAGAGCATAACAGCAGTTCTTACCACCTGGAATTCCCGGTGGGCTCTAATCCAAATACTAACAGGCTCAACCCATCTTAAATCCTGAAATCAGTCGAGATCAGACATTGCAACAAAGTTTGGCCACAAGAAAGACAAAACTATGAATAGATTTGTCTATAAATAAAACAGTTACCCAAAATGCAGCAGGTCCAGTGTACCACCAGAGGCAGACAAATCCGCGTATCATTCATTCATTCGTTTTTCAAAATAAAACCAAACATAAGAAAAGGAAAAAACATTATTTGTCTCCAAAACCAAAACAAACAAAAAAAACACATAACAATTTGTTTTTTCAGTTTTTGATTTTGTGTTTAAACGAATAATGGAAAAAAGGGTAAAGGCCGTTTCCCGTTTCCATGACTTAAACTGCGATGCTGGACTTTTGTGCCGCATACGGACTGAACCAGGACTAAACCAGAACTAAAACAGGTATAAACCAGGACTGAACCAGGATTAAACCCAGATCGATCCCAGGACTGAACCAGGACTAAACCAAGACTAAAACAAGGACTAAACCGGGACTGAACCAGGATTGAACCAGATCTGAACCAGGACTGAGTGTCAGTACGGGCCTGGAGGTGTGCTCGCGTAGACTGTTGGCTGATTAGGACTGAAACCAGACTGGGACCAGACCGGGACTGAGGCCGGGAATGAGACTGGGACCAGGCTGGGACCAGACCAGGACTGAGGCCCGGGAATGAGACTGGGACCAGGCTGGGACCAGGGCTGAAACCGGAACCAGACCGAGACTGAGACCGGGACCAGACTGGGACAAGATCAGGACTGAGACCGGGACCAGACCGGGACTCAGACCAGGACTGAGACCGGGACTGAGACTGGTTTAGACCTGGTTCAGTCCATATGTGGCGCAAAAGTCTGGCATCGCAGTTTATGTCACGAAAATGGGAAACAAATATTTTCAGTTTTTTTCCATTATTTTATTTTTCCATTAAACACAAAATCGAAAATCTGTTTTTTCATTTTGGTTTTGAAGACAAATGAAAAAAATAGTTGTTTTTTCGTTTTTCCTATTTCTGGAAGGAATGATACATGGATTGTACCACACAGTTTAAGAAACACCGACTGGAGACATGAGTACGTTTAAAGTAAAATCCATTTTCATTTTTCCAACTCCAAAGCGGACACATTTGCCGTGTTGCCTGGTGTTAAATGGACCTTCATTCCATTTGAATAATAGTGTAGCCGTACAGAGACATATAATGAGTGTCATAAACGGACATGGAAATCAGTGTGGAATAACACTAATGCCTGAGAACCTGAGAAACCTAAGCTTTATTTCTTTGTGTTTCAACAAATGCCAACAGACACTGCCACACATTTTCCTAGTGACGCTTCACTGAATTTATAGAACAACAACTTGAGATAATTAACAGCAGGAGTTGGAAGAAATAACATGCATTCAATCTCGAAAATTAACTTTAACACATCAAAGTCATTTTATAGACGTTAGAATGCAAGTGTATTTTAGTTAGAGAAAAGTTAAAGGCCACATGCTTCTATCCATTGAGATGTTATTGCTTTACCTGAAATGTCCCACAGTATTACATTAAACTTTCATTGCATTTATTCAGTTAGAGAGGTAATTGAATAAATGCATGTCATTACAGACTACTGAATTCACTTTGTACTTAAGGGCTTATATATTGCAGTTTTGTGAAGTACAGTATGCATATCCAAAAAAAAAGTATAATTTAATTTGGCAAAATGTCTCACTCTTTCCATTGGATGACGACTGTAGGGTTTTGTTCCAATGAAAAAGTCTGTCCGTGTCTTTATTTGAGCCCCTCTGCAGAGCGCTGTAATGAAAACACGCCAGTGAAAACAGCAAAAAAACGAAGCGTATTTGTGAACTGACTGAACCGTCAAGTGCAAGTCTCCAGTGACTCAGGCCTGAACTCAATAATACAGCTATGTGTGGTCTGTACTGCAGCGGCTTCTTCAAATCCCCCTTCAGAAAATACACTCTTATATTTATTTATTATAACCAAAGAGAGACTGACTTTACACTCCTTAAAGAATTTGTATAAATCCTGAGGAACATTGTGCTGAGAATTATTTGAAATTTGAGTATTCAGGAAGAACACAGATGAGAATCCGTGTAGCATTCGTTCATTAGTTTTTCAATATAAAACCAAAAATAAGAACATGAAAAAACAGCTATGGTCTTCAAAACCAAAATGAACAAATGGATAACGATGAGTTTTTTCAGTTTACGATTTTGTGTTTAAATGGATAATGCAAAAAACAGATAACAGCCGTTTTCCGTTTCCGTGACTTAAACTGCGATGACGGACTTTTGCACTGCATATGGACTGAACCAGGACTAAACCAGGTCCAGGACCAGACTGGAACCAGATTGGGACTGAGACTAGGACTTAAATGGGGACCAGACCAGGACTGAAACCGGGACTGAAACTGGGACCAGACCGGTACATTGATGAGAATCCGTGTATCATTCGTTCATTTGTTTTTCAGTATAAAACCAAAAATAAGAAAACAAAAAAACAACTGTTTTCTTCATTATTTGTCTCCGAAACCAAAATGAAAAATCGGATAACAATTCATTTTTTCAGTTTTCGATTTTGTGTTTAAACGAATAATGGAAAAAGCAGATAACGGCCATTTCCGTAACTTAAACTGCAAAGCCGGACTTTTGCACCGCATACGGATAGAACCAGGACTAAACCAGGACTAAACCAGGTCTGGAACCAGACCGGAACCAGAACAGGACTGAGACCAGGACTTAAACCAGGACCAGACCAAAACTGAGACCAGGACTGAGACTGGGAGAAGGACCGGGACTGAGACTAGGACCAGACTGGGACTGATACTGGGACCAGACCGGGACTGAGAGCAGGACTGAGACCAGGACTGAGACTGGGGCCAGGCCAGAACTGAAAACGGTTTAGTCCTGGTGAAATGGGAAATGACCATTCAAAATCAAAAACTAAAAAAAAAGAATTGTTATCTCTTTTTTCATTTTGGTTTTGGAGACAAATAATGAAGAAAATTGTTGTTTTTTTCTTTTTCTTATTTTTGGTTTTATATTGAAAAATGAATGAATGAATGATACACAGATTCATGAACCAAGATATGATTGGGCATGTGAATGAGTGAGTGATTCTTTGTTATAAATCGCTTTGGTTGCCTTGAAGGTGGAAAAGCGCTGTATAAAAATGTCATCATTTACCATTTGCCATTCATTATCCTTAATTTGTCTCACATTTGTAAAGTTAAACAGCAAAGCGTAAAGCATACTATAGTAATGGGTAGATTGATTCAGACATGATACCATAATAATAACAAAACAAACGAAAAATGATTTTGCGTTTTGGAAATACATTGCTTTTATTTTAGTTTAACTCCAGATATATTGAATTCTTAGATCCATTCAAGCTGTGGTGGAGCAAAAATTATGATATATGTGCCACTTTTTTTGAAGAATAAAGTGAAGTAGCGATGAAGAGAGTTGAAAAGAAGAGGCATGAAGCTGGCGTTCTAACACAAGAGGAGTTTATTTATCTTCAGTACAGGACACAGCACCTGGAGACATGAACCCTGAAGACTTGATATAGTGATATTGTTTTCCACTCTAGTACAGTTTGATCTGGCCATGCTTCGTTTGATATAGTATTAGTGTAGTTCACAGTGAGTGCCTTCAGTACAGAGCAGGATTTTTTTTTTTAAATCAAGTTTCAGCGTACACGAGCAACAAAACACAAAGTAGAGCAGGAACAAGTCAGATCGGCCATTTCTGACACTGTAAAAGAGAGAAGCTCATTATGGACTGGGACGAAGTAAACATCATTGGGACAGAGGAAAACAAACACTGTCGCTGGATTAAAGAGGCAATCGAACCTCTGTCTGAACCTTTCAAAAACAAAAGAATTAATAGTGGATTTTAGGAGGAACAGCTTTTCACTGTCGTCTCTCTACGTCATGGGCACAGTTGAAAGGGTGTCCGGCTGGAAGTACCTGGGCCTGCACATCACCGACAGCCTAACTTGGTCCACTAATGCAGCGGGCATTGTTAAGAAGGCCCACCAGCGTCTGTATTTTTTGAGGAGACTCGAGGCTGCTGGACTAGGCCTCCCTGCTCTCATGTCTTTTTATCGATGTGGAGTGGAAACTGTGTTGACCCAGTCCATCACAGTGTGGTACGTATTTATGAGGAGCGTTGTGGAAGACGGGCCTCCAGGATCATGGGGGACCCCTCGCACCCCTCCCACCATCTGTTTGTTCCTCTGCCTCTGGGAGGAGACTGAGGAGCATTAAAGCTAGAACTTCTCGGCTGAAGTTCAGCTTTTTTCCTGAGGCTGTCAGACTTGTGAACGGTGCACACTGACTTCCTGCTTGGGTTGCCTCTCTCTCTATCTTGCCACGTTTTACTACTTGTTCACTGGACTGCTAAATGTTGTTGTTTTAAATGTATTTATTTTTTAACATTGCTTATTTATTATTGTTTTTTGTTTTTTTTAACCCTTTATGGATCACTGGGCCTCGGGGAGCACATTTCGTTCTGTCATGTGTTTCTCTCGCATGTTTGAATGACAAATAAAGAACCTTGAAATACAGAAACGTGCCCACAGGACGATAAACCGGGACGAGGGGACTTTTTTACTCTCACACACTTGGGATAATGTCCTGAGGAAGACGGACTGCAGATGGCGCTGTCGTCCGTCCTCCACCGGTAAGAAGACAGCGCCCAAACCTGTATAAAAATCAGCACACACATAGACCGCGGTACGATCTTGATGCGCTTTCGATTCAATACGATATATTTCAAATTGATACGGTTCAGTTAAAAATAATGAC